ACTTACTGACTTCAGTCCTCAGTTTTGCTCAAAGTTGGTATCAGAAAAATACTTTAGAAAACAGTATATACACCACAACAAGATTAAGGTAAACAATCCAATTGAAAAAATGGGCACAGGATATGAACAGACACTTCACCATAGAAGACATTCAGATGGCCAACAAGCACATGAAGAAATGTTCAAAATCCCTAGCTCTAAGAGAGATGCAAATCAAAATAACTGTATCATCTCATGCCAGTAAGAATAGCAAAATTAAACAGAACAGCAAACATCAAATGCTGGCAAGGTTGTGGAGAAACTGGAACCCTTATTCACTGTTGATGGAAGTGTAAAATGGTGCAACCACTATGGAAGGCAGTATAGCGCTTTCTCAAAAGTTGCAAATAGAAATACCATCTGACCCAGCAATTCCACTACTGGGAATATACCCCAAAGAGACCATAACTGACATCCAATTAGATATATGCACACCCATGTTTATCGCGGCTTTGTTCACAATAGCAAGGAGTTAGAAACAACCTAAGTGCCCATCAACAAACAAATGGATAGAGAAGCTGTGGTATATTCATTCACACAATGGAATACTACGCTGCATTGAAAAACAAGGAACTTATGCAATATTATTCAAAATGGGTGACCCTGGAGGACATTATGCTGAGTGAAATATCTCAGTCACAAAGGGATAAATACTGCATAGTGCCACTGTTGTAAAATGGGACTGACCATGAGGTTGGGGAGAGATTGAGAAAGATGGGATAAATAATGTATACTGCATTGAAACAGATGAGGGAGAAAACTGTTTAAAAGGGATATGTGATTAGGTATTATTGTCATGACAGGAGTCCAAAACGAAGGCTGCGTAATGGAGTAGACCTGGGGGGGAGGGACTGTAAAACAATGAAAGAATTTTTCTTTTACTTTTACTTTTCAAAGAGAAGAGTGTACTGGGGCAGGGGGCAGGGAGAAAAGTGCAACAATGAATGAATGGAAATCCAAAGTTTCTGCAAATTTTCATTAAAATTAACTAAGAGAGAGAGAGAGAGAACACCCAGTATATCCCAACAGAACTATGATGATGACTGCCTATTCCTGCTCTGGGGGGTCAAAACATAAAGAAAAGGAAGCATGGAGAAGAAGGTGCCCATGAAATCAACCACTGAGTACTATGTAGTCCTCACAACCAGTTGAGGGTAGAGATTATGAGCTTTGAATAAACTTGATGAGATGCTGAAATGATTTTATTTAAAGCAATGGAGGGAATCAGTTGTTTTTGTCCATGATGCAAGTCTCTATTTACCATGAAAGTGGGCTGTCTCTTTAAAGCTTCCCAGTCTGGTCTTCCTGACACAATCATTGGCGCTCCCACCAGGACCCCCAAATCCTACCCTCCTTTTACTCAAGCCTTAATCTCCTACCATGTCTTTATGCCTAGTACACCACTATGCCAACTTGAAAACACTTTCAAACAGTAACCAGTTGCTATCAAGTTGACTCCAACTCATGGTAATCTCGTGTGTTGAGGAGAACTCTAAGCTTCATAAGGTTTTCAACGATTAATATTTTAGAAGTAGATCCTCAGACTTTTTATCTGAAAGCCTCTAGGACTCTAACTTCCAACCTTTCCAGTAGCTGGCAAGTTTGCTAACCATTTGTATCACCCATGGATTCCCAAGTCACTGAAAAACCAAAATCAAACCATCTTAAAGCAACCTCCCACCAAGTGTTCAAGGCAATCAATGTTTAAGGGAGGAGACTGTTCATCTTTCTCCCACAGAGAAGCTATGCACTACAGCACCAAGGCTCTTTAAGATACTCCACCAACCGACAGCCATCAAGTTGACTCCAACTCACTGCAACCCTCTATCTCATTTCTGAGCTATATATCTTTATGTGAAAAGACTGCTCAACTTTCTTGAATGGAGCAGCTAGTGGATTTGAACTTTTTGTTAGGAGTAGAACATAGAAGATGCTACTCAAAGAGCTCCTTTAAAATATTCTGTTGTTGTTAACAGTTGTTAGGTACCAGGTCCACTATGACACGTAGTGACCCTGTGAACAATGGATCTGAACCTTACTCTATCCTGTGCCATCCTCACCATCTCTGATATACTTGAGCTCATTGTTACAGTCACTGTGTCAATCTAGTCCATTGAGGGTCTTCTTCTCTCTCACTGACTTTCTCCCTTTCCAAGTATGATGTCTTTTTCCCAAATACAAGCCACTCCTAACTGTTATGGCAGAAAATATGAGATTTAAACATTCACCTGATATTGGACATTAACAAACCTTTTATTATATGCGGGTCAAGAACATCAGCTATTCCCCAAACCATTCTGACCCCGAGAGGAAGCAGAGATTGGGTTTATATACAGAGATTGGGCATGGGGGTTACACGGAGTTCTTTAAGGTTGACAGTTGAGATTTCTTCCCATTCAGGATTCATTATTGCTTCTGACTTCTCTTGGGTGTTCAGGCTCTGGGCCAGGTACAGAATGTAGTCAGGGAGTGATAACCAAGCTGGGTCAGCATGTACTATACTAGGGAACGTAAACCTTAGCAACACATAATACTGCCAAGATTATTGAAGCATACATTTCTTGAAATGGCTGTCAGAATAAAATGTCTTCTCTGATGCTAATACATAAATGGCTTCTCTGATGCTTAGCACTTGAGCAGCTATGATTTAACAACATGCTCAAAATATGTGAGATGAAGCTTCATAATCCTGGTCTGCAAGGAGAATCCTGGCTGCACTTGCTGTTTTTCTGCTGGCTGTCCATGGGATATCCTGTACTCTTCTTCAACACTGTAGCTTAAGGACATTGATTCTTCTTCCTTCTGTCATTCTTGGTTACAGCCCAACCTTCACAGAGGACACTGATACTCTTCTGCTCTGCCTGAGAAGCCCACAAATGGAAGAAATGTCCATCGTTCTGAAGGTACCATTCAGTCAACAAACATCATGTGTGCCAAGTACCATCAAACCAAAAACTGCCATCAAGTCTGTTCCTACTTGCAGCAACTCTCCATTCAATTACTGAGAGGCTGTAAGTCAAAACAGAATGTTCTTCTTTCTCTCTTGGAGTCTAGTGGATTCAAACTGACAGGCACGCACGGCCTTTGGGTTAGCAATGCCACTAGAATTCCATCCAAGCACCTTTTGGCACTGACAACATAAAGCTGAGCAAAATCTAATCCCCTCAGACATTTGCAATCAAGTGTATATTTGTCTATTGAACACCAAGTTTATGGATCAAAGCAATGTGAGAAAATTGAAGATTGGGAAAAGGTGTTCAAAACAAGGAAAAGTTAAGCACTTCAGTGGCTTCTACTTTGCCTTCTGGCCATGACTAGAGTCACACTTAAAAATGAGGATTGTTTCACACCTCACCTGGCTTTCTTCCCTTTTAACTTGCCACCTCTAGTTCATATATTTGAGGGTGGACTCCTCTTCCCATTTCTTTACTTGATTCCAAGCCAAACCCCTTTGCAGACTTATAAGACTCTGAAGATTGAAAAGTATGGCTAGGAATTCAGAGGCCCAGATTCATCTCAAAACGATGTGGCTTCCAGCTTTGACCCCCTCCTCCCCTAAATAGCAGCTCCAGTCTTTTCCAGCCTCTGAGTCCCTGAGACTTCAGGACTCAATTCAAAGTTATATTCTTGCCCGTCTGAATCTCCTCAGTATTTCTCATTACCTCCCCACCTTCTCAGACTGTCCCAGCCTCTTCCCTTTGTACCCTTCCTAGTTCTGTGACTATATACCTCCACCCCCGACTCCGTCCAGTTTTTCCAACTCTCTCTTCTTGATTTTATGTTCAACCTGCTGCTTCCCTCCATGACTTCTTTTAACTTCTTTGAACTATCCCTAGTAGCTGAGGATCCTCTAAGCTCATGGTCTCCAAATCCTCTTCTTTTGGCTCTCTAGGCTCCCGCCAAAGCTGACTCCTTCCCTCTGAAGTCTTTCCCTCTTCCCACAGAAGTTTCTCCTTGTCCGCCCTTCCTGATCCTCTGGTCTGCTTCCCTCAGAGAATTCCTTGGATACTTCCAGTCTTTGCCTCTCCAGTTGTATCCTCCTCCTCCCAATCATGATTTCTCCTGCTTCCAGGATCCTTGTCTTTGTCTCACCAGTTTCTAAACCTCTCTATTGCTCCCTTGGTTTCTGGTGGTCTAGCTCGGAAGACCTCTTTTTCTCTTGCCTCTTTAGCTATAGCTTTTCTCCTCCCTCTTGTTTTTCTCTCCTATCTTGTCTCTGAATCTTTCCACTCCAACTTTCCCACTAGTTAGCCCTGTATCTGCTCTTCTCATCCTCTGTCTTCGTAGCTAAACCTCTCTGTTGTCGTCCCCATAATCTTTTTCCTTTGTTTCTCCCTCCCTTCGCTACCTCCTATCTCCGGGCCTCGGCCTCTTCCTTCCTCTATCCCTCTATATTTCTAAGCTATACCTGACTCTGATTTTCCCTCTGTATCCCCACGCCCCCAAACCCAGTATCTCTTGTCTCTATCTCGGGGCCCTTGTTCCCTCCCTCTCCCTCTCTTCCTCGGCACTCTCCGGCTCCCTCTCTCGCCTCGGATGACAGCGCTGCCTCTTTTGTTGGCTCCGCAGCCAATCGCGGCCGCTGACGACACGGGGGCCGGGGCTATAAAGGGCCCGGCCCGGGCTCGGGCCCCCCCA